CGCGATTTACAGAGAAATTTTTCGAGTACGTTGCACTTTTCATTCGCGAGAAGTTATTTCGTGTTTCACTAATTTTCGAGTGTTACGATGAAGAAAGAAAGAAAAAGAAAAAAAAAAGAGAAATGACCCTGTTCGTTACGGCCCACGGAGAAATTTTTACAGAACGTTACACTTTTGTCTCGCGAGAAGTCACTTCGTTTTTTACTAATTTTCGAGCGTCACGATGGAAAAAAAAAAGAAAAAGAAAGAAAAAGTAAAGTGACGTCAAAATTTGCAGAGATATTTTTAGAAAACACATTTGCAAAGATCTATCTCACACTATCTATCTCACACAAAGATAAGAAAGAGAAGAAGAAAAACATTTTTTTTGAGAACGACACCGGAAATCCGGCCGCGTAACTCTGGAAAAATTCTCGTTCTCCGGCAAGAGAAGTCTTCGATTGGGCCGTTAATTCAGCTCTACGTACCGAGAAACGTGTGTTATCGAAAGGGAGGAGAAAAAAAAAAAATCTCGTCGTCACAGAACTCATCGGAGATCGCTTGTACGCCGAACACGTGCCTCTCCTTCTAGAAACGAGAGTGAGCCTCGTGGATTCGAAGTGATCCAATTCATAAAAATTTACGAGGGAAATGAATTGTCCGACAATCCCGTAATTCGAAATTCTGTAACCGATATTTACAAGGATCTCTTGGCCAAGGTTACCAAGCGACGATCTTTCTCGTCGTAGTTCTCTGACGAATGTGTCAAAAGGCAGACGTTTAAACCGGTATTCACAGTGAATAAATAAATCTTTTATTTAATCTCCGTGTTTTTCGATCTTGCTCAAAGACTGTACAATTGATCGATAAACTTCGCAAACGAAAAAAAGACTTTCTGTCGCTTTCTTTGGCGGGGGTGCGATTTATATCGCGAATCTGTTCGTCGATTTCGTTCTTTTTTTCTTCGTTGGTGCAAACAGACGTCGAACAGACCATCTGACGGGTTTTATAATCTTCAGACTGGAAGCCTGGGCCAGAGAGATCCACCTCTAGCGATCTTTCTCTGTAAAATATTCATGAAGCTGGACGAGTAGGTTTAACATTCGGTCACCGAAAAAAAAAAAGACTTTTCTTACACGGATAAAAATTTATTCCAATAGATGCGTACTTCGTTTAACGTCGAATGCCATTCGTTTGATAGATGATGGACTCGCTAACAGATATCTAAAACGAGGGCTGGAATTCTTTTTTTTTTCTTTTTAAAAAGATGTGAGAATTCAGACTATGTTAAGATTTTTTGAAGGAAATAAATGTTTCATTTATGATGCAATTTTTTTTACTATTAGTTTATTGATTTGTTATTATCGTTAATATTAAACGTGTTTGTTACTATTATTATTATTATATTTAATACTAAAATTATTTTTTATCATTGTTATTTGCTTGAAAAAATTTGCTTACTATTTATTTAAAAAAAAAAAATGAAAGGTTGTTCCAAACATTCGAGCGAGGATATACACGCGTAGAAAGATTCGAAGATTTGTATAGAAGCGAGACGATAATAAAATTTTGAATATTTTTAAACTTCGCGAACAAAATGTGCCAGGGACGTTTCACATCGTCGATTATGAATCTACGGTCGAGCTATAAAAACTGTTTGATTTGCACAGCAGTTTTACTAGCTTAAACGAATGGATACGCGCAGGAATCATTTTCTCTTGCGTTTCAACGTCAGTGTATATATATATAGTGTATATATATATTTTTTCCTTTCTAAAACTTTAATATTTATTTCAGTTTTTCTTTGTATTTACGCCTTCAGATAATTGTTAATTGACGCTCAAAGCCACTTCGCTAATCCCTTAAAGTTTCACGACACTGCCAGTTTGTGTTTCTCTTAAAATTTGAAAACAACGCCATTAGTTCGAAACAATACGGTGCGATACTTAGCGGAGTTATCGTTATAAATACCTGTCGTTTAATTGCAGCGCAGTACGTAACGATGTTTTCGCAGTTACGAAGACTAAATTAGATATTATTTCAGCATAGTAATGCGTAATACTCGTTAACGTGACGTACAGCCAGCTTTTCAACATGTTCTTAGCCGCCATTAGCAAGAACACCTCCCACCCCGAAACCTTTCGTGGAATTCACGCCACGTGGACACGAGTATGAATTCGTCGTGTTTTGCTGTTGTTCTATCGCTTGTTTCTTATTGAGCCCGTGAGAACGCGTTCTCGTGTAACTTCGATTCTAATATTTCATATCTTGACGAACGTTGTCGGGATGAGACTGACGCAGATTCATCGAGGTCCATATTTTATCGACACTGGGAAAGAAATTGAACTTTCTGGACAAATGTTTTAACCTCGGTTCAAACTCGGTTTTTTCTTTTTTTCTTTTTTTTTTACTTGGTTTAGGTTAGGTTTAACCATCAGAAACATTAAAATAAAAAAATGTAAAAGCTTCACAATAAGTTGATTTTATTACGTTTTTTACGTCTGTAAAATTTCTAACAAAAGTTATAAAATAGTCATTTTGATCACTTTGGTAGGTTTGTTAATTCTTGTTAATTCTGATCAACGTGAATTTTCTTTCTATCGTTCTGTTAATTAGTTTCTGATTAGGATTTTAGTTCAAGTTGAAGAAATTTTAATATCGTCTTGACGATAATAAGAATTCTTACTTAGTGAAGATTTTCATGGCTCAAAATGACCATTAGATAAAATAGAAAATTTAATTACCTATAATTATGATTTATTATTTAGGATTAGACTTTAGTTATCCGTCACAATTAAAGATTTCAACATTTTCAACATATAATATGTTATATATTTAAAATATTGAAACATTTCATTTTATTTATTTTATTTGTTTCAACACATCGCGTTATATTATTAAAAATATTCGCGCACTATCTTACTGAAATTTTCACGAATATTTTATATAATTCTATGAAAGATAACATAATAAAGGCATTTGAAGAAGACGCGAATTTCTGGCGACTAAAATGGAATAAATTTCGCTTGAAAGACACCGAAACAATAAACATTAGATTTTAATTGCGGCAAATGCAGAAAATTCAAGAACCGAATCTCTGACATCGTAATTAAACTAATTAACAAATATCAATGAATAACTACGTTCGGTCTGAATTTAACTTTTATTCATTTAATACCGCAACCGCGTATTTAACGTACGAAGATCTTCAATGTCAAACGAAAACTCCGCGAAAGCTAATAAATATTGCAATAAAGTTCGCGTGTAAATATGCACAAAATTTCATCCAAGAGATATATCACGTTTCCATATCTGTCGCCAGGCGTGCAATCGATCGAACTTATTAAATTTTTCAATGACAAACAGATCGCCGGCCTTCTTTCAGCAGTTTGCAACGAGAGAAAGCGAACGAGATCTATCAAAAAAAAAAAAAAAAATCGTAATTTATAAACTATATATCGTGCGCGTAATTATGTATACTCGGGCGAAGCACTCACACACGGCAGGCTCTCAGAAATGCACTCTAGATTAAAGTTTCTTGCTTTGTATAACTGAAGGGGAATTAATGTGAAACATTTACTAAGCTTTTTATTTGAAATTCGGCGCAAAATTCTGGCGAGAAATGACCAGGGAGAGAGAGCTGCACTTAGGATTTATTATTCTTGCCTCTTTCTTTATATATTAAAAAAAGGAAAATGGTTGACGCTTGGTTCGTAACAACTGTCCTACGTACGCGTAGTCGACTTGCGGGTTGCAGAGCCAAAGTAGCGGAGCAAGCGTGCGTACTTCATAAATTTTCTTCCTTTTTCGATGAAAGGATTCCTTGATCTCGTGGGTCGGGATCGACGAGCTCTATTGTAGTAGAACGTGATATATAGGCTTCTGATATCAGAGCTGGTGTCTGCAGGGACACGATTGGTCTCCAGGATGGCTCGAGGATGGCTAGGCGTAAATATCAAAAATTTCCAGGATGCATCTCTGTCGTAAATCTGCTGCTTATTCCGAGCTCGCTGACATTCAAATTTCATTATCTGCGAGGGATTGTTATTTTTTTCGTTATACTGGTTGTAGTATCAAATGCTCGTACGAGCACTTTTGGCCAAAATGTTGGTGCAATTTTTTTATTTTTTTTACCTGAAGAAGTAAGCTTTTATTTATGTTGCATCGTATTGTTAGCTTTTTTTTTCAACAGTTCTTCGAAACGTTTCTAAAACGCACAGAATAGAGCTTTTATCTCAGCAATTTTTATTATCTTTCATTGTCGTTCTACGTTTTTTTCCATTCTGAAAGAAGAAAATAATTACAGGTTGCGATATCTGGTAAACATGGCAATTATTATTGCAAGTTGGTGGATTGTTGTAGCGCACACTGTGAAACGGTTGAAAAATCGTCAAATCCACCAATGGATTACTACTAAATCTGAATTGTGCATTCGATCTGAACATAAATCGTAAAATAGATCTTTCGACAAGTGTACTAGCAAACATGAAACAATCATATTTCAAACGGAACTTTTTGACCAAATTTTGTATATTGCATATTTTTTATTTTATCATTATCGCGTAAGTTTCAACGAAAAAATATTTTTTTCTCTCTTCTCTCGGAGGATGTAACAATTTAAAACTTGCACGAAAGTGAATCAGGCGCATTTGCAAGCAAAGACGCTAAATGTACAAATAATAATATCTGTTATAATTTTATAATTAAATTGCCATCGAATCATCTCACTGACCAAAACCGACGAACGCTTTATAGTGCTTCCATGAATTTCGCGTTGCTTTCAATTTTCTATTGTCGAAGGACTGAATGTGAAATGAAATTCTGCAGTCATCGTTTCAATCAAAAAATTCCACTTCGCGTGTTTTTGTTGTTCGCAATTTCTTTCTTTCTTTTTTTTTTTTTTTTTTTTTTTTT